CTGCGCCGATTCTCACTTTAAGATTGGAGAAAAAAACGCCCCGGCTTTTTTTTTATTTCTTTCAACCAATCACAATCGTTCTGGGCGGTGCCACAGGAACGGTGCACTTGCAAAAATATTGCCGGGGGGAAACAGGTTTTGGTGTAATGCCCACAAAAATATCGCCTACAGGACGCGAACCATGGCAGAAAAATGGCTACATCCCCGCAAGATCAAACACCGCAAAAGTTAGTAAAGGACGTGTTGAAAACTGCAACCGGAGGTGGTAGGGTGGGACTTAAGCGGGTGGCTCGTTCCGCCCAATGAGAGGCTGATCTATACAGCGAACTTCCACCCACTCAGACTAGTGTTAGCTACATTTATCCAGTTTATTTTCTGATCCTTGTGTTGTTGTATTCCAATGCTTCCTGGCACATCAATTATCAAAAATTAGGCACTGCCCTTTACTTAAACACAGGAACCCATAATTATATTGAAAGGACTGTTACTTTGAGTTAAAAAGGCAGCTGCTTTCTCAGCGGGAACTGCCCAGTGGTCCGACAGCCCATTGGTTCGACATCCCATTGTTCCAACCATATTAAACCCATTGTTCCTAAGTCCATTCCGAAATCATCATGATGCCCTGTGGTTAAGGTCTGGTTAGGTTTAGGCACAAAAACCACTTGGTTAGGGTTAGGAAAAGATCATGGTGTGGGTTAAAATGAAAAAGAAAGTGACAAACACATAAGACGTGAGCCTGCTCCGCCTCAAGCCTTTCCCAGATGACCCAGAGCTGGTCGCGGCGCACCATACGCCCGCCGCGAGCCGTTCAGCACCGCGGACAGTCGGACTAATGGGATGTCGAACCAATGGGCTGTCGGACCAATGACATGGACCCTTCTCAGCAATAGCTTGCAGGTGTAAGACATGTCCAAAGTGGTACAGTTAGTTGAGAACTATATTTGTATTTTAGGTAATTTGTTCATGCTGGGGATGAAAAGAGGATGTCCAAAACTTACCCAGTCCTGTCTGCCAGTAGTGACAAAATAAGACTCCTCTCTCCATGGACATCTAGCTAAGCAGCATAGGACAATACACAATAATATGGGAAGGTGTTAAACCAAGTTACAGTATAACGTAGGGTATATTAATACCTATTCAGCTGTCCAAATGGCTTTTTGATTATGCATAATTGCAATGTGAATTTAAAAGGAAGCCATTCTGCCTTTAGAAGACAGTAGTGATAGGTTTTGTGTTCATAATTTTTATTGTAAGCGAAGCATCATGTCAGTTGTCATTGTTTGATGCTGGTGGCAGTTAATATTCATCCTGGGGCATCGGAATGACAAAAGCAGTTCTTGGTATGTACGTTTGACAGGATAGTATGGTATGACACACTCTTGCACTTTCTTTGGTTCATCCAAAACCGACCGGTCTTCCAACTTTTTAAGAAGCAGAGGCTGCATGGATGTGGAGCTGTCAGCCCATCTCTTTTACTCCCCGTCAACTGGATGATTTATTTGGCCCCAATGAAGCCTTGATGTATGCTGGGGAAAGGTTTCCACAGCAAGTTGTTATATCCAAGAAAGACACATCTGCAGGCAAAAAAAAAAAAGGTAAGTATTGGGGGTTGTAGGGGGGTTGGGGGTGGGGGGCTACTACCGACCCCCCTATGACAGTGGCCCAGTGATGGAGCGTTCATGTTGGAAGCATTGCTGCTGGTGAAACTGATGGATGGTATGTCATATCTTATGGTAGCAACACCCAGAGAATAGAGCTGATGTATGGATGTGCTACAGTCATACAGTTGTAAAACTAGGCGCTGAGAGGGAGTGACAGCGAAAAGAGATGGGGAGCTGTGAGTGAAGTAAAGAGAAAGATACAAATCTACAAAGTGAACAGTTGTGGTCGATTGAGATGAGAGCAAAAAACAAAAAGAGAACATAAGAATCAAGAAGGTGTATTACAAGAGTATAAGGAATTAGAGTTCATTGCTTCTGAGAAATACAGCAGGAGTAAAGAGGTGTAACAGTTACCTTCCTACTGGTTGGAACTCCTGCACGTAAATGACAATTGCTGTCTTAATGACTGGATTGAAATCTCCCCCATTTCAAATCGGAATTATAAAAAATGTTTGATATTTATGATTTGAAATTGTATAGTGTGAAAGGAACAGCAATGGAGTATTTATCAGAAGCCAGCAATAGCCACTGAGAGTGGGCTGACTGGGAAGCGTCACTAAACAGATGTTGGTACCTGTGTAGAACAGAAACATGGCTGCCAACAGCATGAGTACTTTTGGCCCCTGAGCCAGGTGGACCACCACTCTGAAATTGTTAAGTATTAAAGCCAAGTGTGTGGTCCTGCGTCTTGACTGAAGTGTCTGGTGTGCACGTTTTTACGATTAGAATATTAAAAGTCTGTTAAATCTGTCATTATGACTGTGGTCATTTTTGAAATCAGTCAGGATCTGAAAATCCTCTCGTGTACAACCTGAAGTAAAAATAAATAAATAAATAAATAAAAATCAACTACTTTTCCTTGCAGTCTATTTTGCCCTTACAGAAAAAGCAGAGCCACGAGGTCCATAAACGAGCATCCAGTGATAAAGTTTGCTAGTAAGGTGAACAACAGCTGAGACAGTCTTTAGAGGTTGACAGTATCCAGGACAAAACATTGTTCCATTGACCTTTGTTCCATACATGCATAGATGTAATCCATAGTTATTTTAGGTACCCAAAAATTATAAAGGAAGAATGTAGTTTGCTTGTTTGTTGGTAATAAGATCATTTGGAAACAAAATGGCATCAGATTGTTAAGTGATGCAGAAGTCATCACTTTATCTTCCTTGAAACGTCCAGATGTTTGCTTAGTATTATGGTAATACTGTACCTTGTAATAGTAACAGAATAGGTACCCAGTAGGTAAATAATACCTACACATATTGGTAGGCACTGTACTGGTACACTGCTAGTACAAAAAGATTACACCGTAACTCCTTATCTAAAACATTTAAACAGCTGATAAGCTACTGTATATGCTATTGTTGTTGTTGTTGTCTGTATGTTAGTTGTGCTTTTAATACCCCAAAATGATATCCCTTTTTATGTGGGAGCAAATAAAGAAAACACAGATGAATGCCTTTTAAAAAGTCATTTTTATTTTGCAAGTGTAGTAGATAGTGAATCAAAATTATGAAGCAGGTCAAAGAATAATGACAACACACAATTTCAGACCTTTGCACCCAAGAGAGCTATTTTGCTGACTTTTCTCAGAGGACAGTGACACAACATCAAGAACTGAATCCATGAGAGACTTAAGAGTGTCAACTGATTTCACTATGATCTCATATGTCAAATTTTACAATTACCCTAACAGTATCCACAGTATACTTCTTTGTCAAACAGGCAGAAGGTCTCCCGACTCCCTTATAAATTTTTTTTTTTTTTTTTTTTTTAGTTGTATAGTATGGGGAATGTAGAGTATGGAGAATGTTATAAACTTTCTGAAAAGCTGTCTATGTCAAATTCACATAGCACAGCCAAAGACAAGTCAATGAGAGCATGATTAACATTAACAAACAGTAAGGTTGCATTACATTTGGACAGTCAGCTTCACTATTTTCCTCTGCTTACAGTCTTTAGGCTAAATTAGTGTGCATGTGGGACAGGTATAACCATCACTCAAGAACACAAACAAGAAACATGGGAACGTAAGAGTTACTTAATATCATGTGAGAGGACCTCAAATGACTGTTCAGCAACAACATTGTCATAAATCCAGGCGCAAGGTGTGTTTGATTTCCGGTACTGTAAAGCAAATTATAAATTTGCTATAATGGTAAATTGCCCATATTAATATTCAAATATGCAAAAGAAGCAGAAACAAGCAAAGATCAGCTTCAAAATTACGTGTACATGAAAAGGCGGAATCATTTCAGACTCAGTTACACACATATTCAATGACATCATCTGATTCTGTCCCAGTGACTTCCACCTCACACAGTGTCAGATATTCTGGTCTTCCAGGAATCACAATGTTAACATACTGGCCCTCCATTCCATTACACAAAAAAGTTTAAGAGGTCCCAGCTGGGATAGACTGGATAACAGCACACCTGAAGAAAATGAACATGAGACAGAATTATGTGTAAAACTATGTTACCAGATAATAAACTATGCATAGTTCTTAGCTGTAGTTTCATTTGAATAGTGATGATGCATTTGCTGTGAAAACGATGGCTTTCTATGGGGAATATATGTAGATATCCAGTGCACTGATTTCATGTGGCATATACAATCAATGTAAGATGTTCAAACCATACAAGACAGAAAGTGCTGTTACCTGGGATTAGCATTGCCATTGTCATTGAGGGAGTTTCCAATGTGGATCTCAGCACCATTAAGCCGACCATGGCAACAATCTCCTCTGTTGGTGATGGTGACAGTGTTAATCTTATATGTTCTCAGGAGGTCCAGTCTCCACCATGGTCTTCTGTCAAGGTTTGTGTGAGTACAGGATCCTTGTCCATAGATGCTTGCCTGATTTCCATCAATTGCCTTTTCAGGGGGGCCATTCCACCCCACGGAGGACTGAGTTGCTTTTCCATGTCTAGCAATATTAGCACCTGGACAAAGTCACAGCATTTGTTATTGAAGATAGTTTCAAGAAGGCACAGATGTCTTGCATGTTTTGATCTGACCAAAGCCATTAAAGAACAGGCAGTTAGCAAGTTAGTGGAGAATTTGAGTGGTACAAATCACCAGTTGGAGCAGTGTTTCCTGAAGGCTGACCAGTGACTTCCACCTCACACAGTGTCAGATATTCTATTCTTCTAGGAATCACAATGTTCACATACTGGCCCTCCATTCCATTACACACAAAAGTTTTGGAGGTCCCAGCTGGGATAGACTGGATAACAGCACACCTGAAGAAAATGAAAATGAAACAGAATTGGGTGTAAAACTATGTTACCAGATCAAAACTATGCATAGTGCTCACCAGCAGTATTTGAATAGTGATGATGCTTTTGCTGTGAAAACTATAGGTTTCAGTCAGAAAATCAGTGAGATATCCAGTGCACTGATTTCCTGTGACATACACAACCAGTGTAAAATGTTCAAACCAAATATAAGATAGAACGTGCTGTTACCTGGGATTAGCATTGCCATTGTCATTGAGGGAGTTTCCAATGCGGATCTCAGCACCATTAAGCCGATCATGGCAACAATCTCCTCTGTTGGTGATGGTGACAGTGTTAATCTTATATGTTCTCAGGAGGTCCAGTCTCCACCATGGATTTGTTTGTCCTTGTGTGTGAGTACAGGATCCTTGTTCATAGATGCTTGCCCGATTTCCATCAATTGCCTTTTCAGGGGGGCCATCCGATCCCACGGAGGACTGAGTTGCTTTTCCATGTCTAGCAATATTAGCACCTGGACAAAGTTACAGCATTTGTTATTAAAGATAGTTTTAAGAAGGCACAGATGTCTTACATGTTTTGATCTGACCAATGCCATTAAAGAACAGGCAGTTAGCAAATTATTGGAGCGTTTGAGTGGTACAAATCACCAGTTGGATCAATGTTTCCTGAAGGCTGACCAGTGACTTCCACCTCACACAGCGACAGATATTCTGTTCTTCCAGGAATCACAATGTTCACATACTGGCCCTCCATTCCATTACACACAAAAGTTTGTGAGGTCCCAGCTGGGATAGAATTAACAGAGGCACACCTGAAGAAAAAGAAAATGAAACAGAATTGGGTGTAAAACTATGTTACCAGATCAAAACTATGCATAGTGCTCACCAGCAGTATTTGAATAGTGATGATGCTTTTGCTGTGAAAACTATAGGTTTCAGTCAGAAAATCAGTGAGATATCCAGTGCACTGATTTCCTGTGACATACACAACCAGTGTAAAATGTTCAAACCAAATATTAGATAGAACGTGTTGTTACCTGGGATTAGCATTGCCATTGTCATTGAGGGAGTTTCCAATGCGGATCTCAGCACCATTGAGCCGATTGTGGCAACAATCTCCTCTGTTGGTGATGGTGACAGTGTTAATCTTATATGTTCTCAGGAGGTCCAGTCTCCACCATGGTTTTCTTTGTCCTTGTGTGTGGGTGCAGGATCCTTGTTCATAGATGCTTGCCCGATTTCCATCAATTGCCTTTTCAGGGGGGCCATCCCACCCCACGGAGGACTGAGTTGCTTTTCCATGTCTAGCAATATTAGCACCTGGACAAAGTCACAGCATTTGTTATTGAAGATAGTTTCAAGAAGGCAAGTCACAGATGATTCGACCAAAGGTATTAAAGAAACTGTTGTCATTATACTTGATTAAACTCTCACTGTGACCCCTGGACATAGAACTTCAGAACTGCTCTTTTACAGTAGTAAAATACTAAAAATCAGTATCATTAATTTCATTGAACCAATTTAAAGAATAATCTCACCAGAATGACCACTTGTCTGTCCTAAAACAGCCAACCAGACAAAGAACACAGCTGGAGTCATCATCCTGTGAAGCAAGTTGACACTCAAATAATCTTATTGAACCTTTGTTTTAAAGCCTCTACATATATTTCTACACATGCATATACATTCATATACATAATGTACACATATGTTCTTAAAGGGATAGTGCACCCAAAACTGAAAATTCAGCCATTATCTACTCAACCATATGCCGACGGAGGCCCTGGTGAAGTTTTAGAGTCCTCACATCCCTTGCAGAGATCGGCGGGGGGAGCGGCTAGCACACCTAATGGCTGACGGCGCCCCAGACTAACGTCCAAGAACACAAAATTGAATCCACAAAATATCTCCAACATGCCCATCTGTAGTGATCCAAGTGTCCTGAAGCTCCGACATAAAATGCTGTTTGGAAAAACTCTGATTTTAGCCTCACTGTAGCCGGTAGCTCTGACTGCTTCTCTGTGCTCCGCGCTCACGTGTGCGCGCTTGCGCGAGACAAGCGAAAGCATGAGCTTTGCTTACCCATGTTTACATCACGTGACATCATGTTTCTTTGTTGAGCCGTATTTGTTTGAGCCCGAGTATACGGACGCGAAACTCAGGCTACTGGACGAAGCAGCTGCCGCAGCTCATGAGCCTAACCCTCAGCCAGCCGCAGAATACTGGAGTCGAGCACTGGAAACCTGGTGGTGTAGTTGTTTCAAATGCAAAGCAATGCCAACGGATGAGAAAAGTCTTTGCTGCTCAGACTGAGAATTGGCGATGACTGCACTTGAAAATCTGAACATCAGTACTGACGAGAATGATGCTCTTCAGAGACCGTGCATCACCGATCACCCTGAGCGTGCACACGTGAGCGCGGAGCACAGAGAAGCAGAGCTACAGGCTACAGTGAGGCTAAAAACAGAGTTCATATGACGTTTCTCAAAACAACTTTTTATGTCGGAGCTTCAGGACACTTGGATCACTACAGATGGGCATGTTGGAGATATTTTGTGGTTTCAATTTTGTGTTCTTGGATGTTAGTCTGGGGCGCCGTCAGCCATTAGGTGTGCTAGCCACTCCCCCCGCCGATCTCCGCAAGGGATGTGAGGACTCTAAAACTTCACCAGGGCCTCCATCGACATATGGGTGAGTAGATAATGGCTGAATTTTCGTTTTTGGGTGCACTATCCCTTTAACCCAAACTAACCTGATCAGGAAGACAGCCACACCTGACCACTACCTTTATATTATCATTTCCATACTTATTCACATATGTCCAAATAAACCTGATTTCTTTCTGGCACCTCACATCTTCCCCTTCCATGAAACAAGNATATGTCCAAATAAACCTGATTTCTTTCTGGCACCTCACATCTTCCCCTTCCATGAAACAACGAGGGGTCCAGGCATCAGGTGTCTGCTCTCTAGTTTATGTCCCGACTAGGGGTGTAAGGCAAAGCTACCTTGTTTATCTGCATGTGTTTGTGTCAAAGGAATATCCCTATTCGTGTTTGAGGTATACTGAAGGTGCATCAGATTTTTAGTCCTCATGCATTTATCTTTTCTGCAAACTAAATAAAGTAATATTTTAGCCATGCACCTTAATTAAACAAATGAAAAAAGAGAATTTATTTTTGAACCTCACCTTCAACCGAAGAAAAGTAAATCTAAACAAAATATACATTTAAAGAATAAGAAAGCTATTGAAAAACTTGAAAACTTGCCCTGGTCCGATGGCATGCAAACATGAGACAGTCCCTAACTTCAGCTTGTCAAGTTAGGCACAGTGACAATTTTTAATATGGGGATGTGATGTAAAAATAACACCTGTGGAACATAAGTCCCACACTTAATAACTAACCCAGTAAATCCTGATAAAAATGCACTGAGGATGTGACTATGTGTTTAAATATGACTATGTGTTTAAATATGTGTTTCAGAGTTATGACTCTGAAAAGAAATGGCGTTTGGTTTGTGGTAAATTCTGTGGAATCGATGGGAAGACTGGAAGTGTTGGTGGAGCAGGAACATTACTGCAAAAATTCTCATGTTTTTTTATATATCTGTTCAGAGCACATCATCTGTGCATATACAAATAATGTATAATTAAAACCCTAGTCTGGAATCTTTTTAAATGGCTTAAAGTCAGAACCAAGAACAACAGAACAGTTCTTCCTACTACCCTTCTTCTAAATCCTTAATAAATAATAATCAAAGTAATGCTTGTCTATATGCTATCTATATGCCAAATGATGCAGGGTCTTTTTCTCTCCAAAATAAACTCCCTCCCACCTAGAGCATTTTCAGACAAAACATTCAACTGACACAAAGTAGATTTAACCTGTTCTTATAGACATCACGATCAACACATCAAGGTCCCAAATATGAATAAGCATCGAAAAGAAAAATAGGAAGAACAAAAACTGGACTAAAATTAACATGATTATTAACATCAGTATCACTTGATTATCAGTGTATGTTGGTCCCATTATATTTATGTATTGTTATTTTAACACCTACCAAGCTGTAATGTAAAGTGGTACCTGATTTCCTTTTTTAGTGACAAAAAATTATTAGAGAATAAAAGAAGAACGATCAGTAATTCCACCAAGGACCTACCTGGAAGCTCTCTGACTCCCTAGAAGCAGCTGCGATCTACATGTGTGCCTGGAGAGCAATTGATTTTATGTCACTGTGCAGGTGGCAGGCGTGACAGGCAACTGTTCATCACTCTAATTGTCAGTCTATTCAAACAAGTGTTGTTTTTGTATCCGCTTTAATGCCCAATGTGCCTGTCTCATCATATGATACTGTTGTCCATGGTGTCTTTTTCCAGAGGGCACACCCTTTGCTCAAATAATGGTTGACATATGTGACAGGTAGTTGAGACAATGCACAACTAAATATAGTGCATGAACTCTGGTGCAAGGAGTTTGATAAGAGATACGTATATGTGACAAAACAAACTTAAGATTGATAAATGCTACAAATCTGAATTAGTTTAAGGATAAATGAGCAATTACTGACTGGATGTTGCTCGGTCTGCATTTGAAAATCAAACTGCAAATATTGATCCCATTAGAGGATGTAGTTTATGGTGGTGTTTAACTGTAGTGAACTGTAGGGACGGATGTTTGCTTTATTTGGCCCGCCCTCAATGATACGAAAGGTGTGGACAAAATCATAGAAACGCCTGTGTTCAAAAGGATCATGTTGAATCAACACCTGTCTAAAACACTTTCAACAAAACCTGAACATAGGTTGCATGGAGGTATCGCAGAACTGTTGTATTAGACTGCATTAGTTTTAGCCATAGCTGTAGCTAACAGAATGGCAACTGAGCGTATGTGTCCTTTGGTTGTATTTTCTATATTTGCGGTGTGTTTCATTATTTTGCACATAAGCTGTGAAATTGATGATGTTTTTTTCATTTCGATGTCTTTTTGTCTATTTGCATGTATCGGGGCCACAACTTAGTTTTAGTGTCCTGACCTTATCTACTTTAAGTCTACCTTAACCACAGTGTATTTACAATAACTCTAATATTTTTGTAACCCTAACCACATCTTTGTAAGCACAGATGCACAGTAAAAAAAACAACTAAAAAAAAAAGTTTGTGTAGCAGATCCTAGGTGTGACACCTGTCGTCAGATTACAACCTGTTTCCTAAGGATACAGAGGAAAGTTAGTCGGGATGGCTACTGAAATCCAACATAGATCCAGTTCTTACTGGTCTAAATCACACAGCAGATTTTGGTGCCTTATTTTGGTGCTGGACTGTGTGCAAGAGAGTGAGAGTGAAAGTGACAGACAGATGAACAGACAGACAGAGTGTGTGTAACTGTTAGGGACAGCCGTAGTTTTCATTGTATATCTTTTGTTGTGTGTGGCAGCAGTGATGTTTTAGGAGCTTGAGAGCTCTTGTTTCTGGTGAAGATTTTTGTTTTCCTCCAGGTGCACTGATCCGTGACATCGCTGCTGTGGATTGGCTGAGCTTGGGGAGTGTGGTGTGACATTGCTGCTCCGGACTGGCGAAGCTAGTGGCTTGTCCTATTTAACATCCATTGTAATCTCTGTTACTCCAAGAGAGCTCCTAACATAGCCTAAAAACTTTTAGTAAGGAGTCCTAGCTTAGGAGTGATTTAGGAAAGTGCTCAGAGCAACTCTGATTAAGGAAAGGACAGAGACTTTTATCTTACTGAGGGGGTGTGGATGACCCTGTTGCTAGGTGTGATGCTTTGTTTTAACAGATGTGATTGGTTGTAAA